TTCTCGAATAATATCCTTTCGCGCTGCAAGTGCGTCGGCTTATCTAAATAAAACGACTCCACTTGATTCGCGTGATTATCCTTATCTATTTCATCAGCAAAAACTACGAGCTTACATGAGACGTTAATTGTTACACGACAATTGTATTATATTGATATTTACGAATGATGATCTCATTTGATTAGTCATCCACTTCGGCAAACGTATCTTTCTTCAACTCTTTTACCGAATGTATTGTGCAACAACGTTTTAAAAAATTCGTTGCAATACCAGTCACGAAAATATGCAATTTCACCTGCTTATGCGCAATAAATTTAAATAACCATGTAGACTATGATGTAAGCTGAATTACAACGGTGTATTATACTTACAAGTAGTTCCGTGTTGAAGTGCACAGTGAACGACTCGAAAATTTCTAATTTTTTTTTAAACTTGTATTTATTGTATTCTTAACTATCCTTAATATGAAATAAACCTACTTATAAACTCTTCTACATACTGAAACATAGTTTTTGCTTAGTTTAACTCGATATTCGAGAGCTCGATGCAATCTGTTCCGCCAGCAACGTAATTTTATATATAGATGTTACAGATAAGTTCGATAACTATCAAAGAAAACTACTCGGTTATACACGGGGCAAGAAGGTAGTGGCACGTATTCCCAGATGAGGAACATCTTCGAAAACGTGTGGAACATCTGTTTGAGCCAACTGTGAAATCGGCCCCCAGGTTACAAGGGGGAGGGAAATCTTTCCAACCTACGACTGAACGAAATAGCGACGAAATCACGAACCAGCCGTTTGCACGGATCGAGGATGCACCTGCGCTGGGTGCATCTTTGGATGGATCACTGGCCAGATGTCCCTCACACCCGTTTCAGAATCGAACCCACGTTTCTGGCTGCTGTTCAGATACAAGGATTCCACTATTCATCGTTCGGAGAGAATATCAGAATATTTTCAAATAGAAAAAGTTTCACGTGACTTGGAATGATCTTGGCTGTTCACGAATTTTCGGTTGTTTTATTGTTTTTTGTCAAATTCTCGTTAACTATCGACATTAGTGAAGAATGTTACATACAGAATTTGTAGCTATAGTCGTCAGCTAGAAAAAATTTCCCCATAGGTCCAACAGTTTAGGAGTATTTGAGGAAAAACGAAATTTTTGGCAAAAAGTTTACTGTTTCGACGGTAGGAACAGTCGGATTTTGTCAAAGAATACATAAAACCTTTTTTTCGTATATTGTATAAATCCTATCTATGTGACCAATTAATACGAAAACTAGTTATACGAACTTGGTACGTGGCATCTCTTTATTAGAATGTAAAAAGTACGCTTATTAATTACAATGCTATTTGTTCCGTAAGGGGATATCATTTTACATCGATAGATAGTCGCTTCCCTTTCTTTTTCCATGAACTTTTTATCGGCAAGCGGCGTGCGACCGGGATGATCGCGCCGTGTTTCTGACGTCTTCCGCACATGGAAACCAGAGTAACCAGTGCAGCGTGTAAAAAGCTGCAGCTGCTGCACAGTGACAGCTGCAACCGCGGCGCATCGGTACCTACCGATAAGAATAACGCGATCCTAAGCAGTTTTCGCATATTCACGGTGAGTCTCCATAATTGCATAAATCGAATCAACGTTTTAAAACCTATCATAAAATAACGAGAACAGAAGAGAAATACGTCAGGAAACCAGTTTCAATTCATTTTACACGTTATCCAATTCATTCTAACCACGTCCCAATTTCTCAGCCTTGATTCGAATTCAATAAATTATTACCAACGTATGCGTGTTTAATTTGACCATCGAGACGGCGCGGCGCAAAAACGAGTATCGATAAATAATAATCGGTCAGACTCAATCGTTTCGTCGTCACGGGGTGTTTATCGGTCAGCAGCAGCATTCCGTGCATATGCAACCGCACACCTAAGATGGATGCGCGAAGATGAGAGAAAGTCGGGGATCCTGGCCTCGAGGTTGCCTTCGAGAACGTAACCAGCCATTCGTAACACGTATAGTGGTGCATACGTACACTGTCTATGTTCACGTGTGTGTGCGATGCACGATCGTTGCAAGTAGATAGGCGTGAACGGTGCCGGGAGGAAAATGTCATCGGATGCTTTCTTGCCATCCGTTCGATACCATTCCCATTACGCACCTTTCTCATTTTGTTTATACATTTACAAAATCGCTAGACCATTAGTGACTAACTGTGTTTGTCTGAATGAGCAATCGACTGGGACGATACTGTGAACGCTATTTAGAGTATTCGCTCTTTAACAGTAGATTGCCCAAGGAAGTCATTTTGACTGGTTTTGGGCAAATGTACAAATAATAATGCATAAATTATTTTTTTTTCCCAAGTGAAGTAAATTTTTTTTATTGTTAACATTTACTAATAACTTGTTATATGA